AGCCGTTGGACCGATTCAATTGACTCATGGTGACTTGCAATGCAAAAGCAAAAATTCAGGACGGAGTGCACTCTGACTCACTCTTGGTTTGTGGGCCCCTGGAAGACCCTTTAGCTGAACCAACAGGCGGTGAACTCCCGGCGCAGTAAGTGCCTGCAAGCCATTGCCAGCGGTGAGACCTTGGCGCGGTGCAGGCGCAACACATTGAACCATGCACTCAACCCACAACAAACAGTAGATGACAGCTTGATCGACAGATCCAGACCTTCCCACCCTTCACAAATCTTCACAATCCAAAACACAAATGACATCAAAATCTTCTCAAATTGATCCTGACAGCAGCGTCTTTTTGCTTTACGCGCTGTGCGCGGAGGCAGTGTGCGCTCCGGTTGGGCGTTGGATGGCACTGTCATGAATGAGAACTTCATGGATTACCTAAAGTCTCAAACTTTATCGCGGCGACAAATTTCGGACACCCTGGAGTCAAAAATTTATCGTGGCGATAAATTTTTGGACAGCTCTAGATTCAAAATTTATCGTAGCGATAAATTTTGAACATCTCTGGACCCAAAATTTATCGTAGCGATAAATTTTGGACATCTCTGGGGCCAAAAATTTATCGTAGCGATAAATTTTGGACATCTCTGGGGCCAAAAATTTATCGTAGCGATAAATTTTGAACATCTATGGGCCCAAAATTTATCGTAGCGATAAATTTTGGACATCTCTGGGGCCAAAAATTTATCGTAGCGATAAATTTTGGACATCCCGGGGCCCAAAATTTATCGTAGCGATAAATTTTGAACATCTCTGGATCCAAAAATTTATCGTAGCGATAAATTTTGGACATCATTGAATCATTGAACTCAAAAAGCTATCATTACGATAAATATTGGACACGCTTGGATTCAGAACTTTATTGCGGCGATAAAGTTTGAACACCATCGGATTCAAACAACTATCATTGCTATAAAGTTTGAACAACGCTGGATTCAAACATTTATCGCAACAATACATTGTGAGCACGACTGGATTCAACAAATATCGTGACGATAAACTCTGGGCACCTATGCATTCACAAATTGAAGTAACTCTAAAGTAGTTATCCACACCTACCAATGTGCCTCTATCCAACGCCCCCGGCATGGCACTCTCTGCCTTGCTGTACGTGTCCGCCGTCCCTCACCTCCATATCACCACTGTAAATTCAAATACGATGAACACTCTAGTGAGGTATTCTGAGGTTGGGTGACCATATATATGAAGTTGATATGTGGTTGGTGTACATGGTTGAATACGTGTATACATAGATCGACCCACCGCAACTCTGCAGAGGCCGGGGCGGTGGACAGATTCGGGATGAAGGACGCTCGTGAACATGTCTTGGTCCACCATCACCTTTTGAAGCTGAGTTCATGGGTTTGAAGCTAGTGCCATGGAGTTCATGGAGTGACATGTCATGTCACCGTGATGGTGGACCGCCGCGGGCCTTGTTCGGCCTTAGCCATGCCATGATGTCTGGCCATGGAGGTGGATGTGCGCAATGTGGATGTGGTGCAACTGCCGATGGCCATGGCCAGACATCCTCTGTACCCTGTGGGATCATGTGGAAGGCGGCCGGCTCCAGCTTGGCTCATGGGAGGTTAGTTGATGGGAGGTTAGTTCATGAGAGGTTAGTTCATGGGAGGTTCGTTCATTAGAGCTTAGTTCATTAGAACTTAGTTCATTAGAGCCTAGTTCATTACAGCTTAGTTCACTCCGAGCTGGATCCAGCAGGGCCTTCCACCACCCTGCGCGCTACCACCGCCAAGTCGCGGACTGCATGCATGCAGAGGCTCCAGTCCTGCTGCTGCGCCGCCTTGCCCTTTGCCTTGCCCGCTGCCTGTCGCTCCTGGGATCCCTTGCCAGGAGTCCTCTTGCGGGTCCGGCCCTGGCCACACCTGAGATGAGGAAGCATGCACGCTTGTACGACAGACTCCAAAGAAAAACAGGGCAATGAAAACAAATTGCTCGTACAGCAGGGCCTGTTAGAGACTATCAATGAAGATTCATGGAGGCTCGCTGCAAGAAAGCAAAGCAATGATCATGCACAAGAAAGTAAAACCATTGATCAAAGGATATCAAAGGCGCTCATAGAAGTTGCCGGCCAAGTCCTTGTAGCCGCCGACACAGTATTCGCCGCCCCACTTGTCGAACTTGCCCTTGCCAGTCCCCTTGGCGCTGCCGCTGAAATCCCGCGGCTTCCATGATGCCCAATGCGGCTTCCGCCGCGGCTGCCATGAGCCGTAGTTCTTGCCCTTTCCCTTGTGCCAGCTGCGCTTCCACCAGCCTTGATGGCCCCACCACCCCTGCTGCTGCTTCTGGTCATCGTGGCCATCCTCCACCTCATCTTGATCGCCCTGCAGGCCATCCGCCTCCAGCTCCTCAGGGTTCACCTCCTCATCTTGCTCTTGTCGCTCCTCTTCATGGCCTTCGCCAACCAGCTGCTCTTCGCCGCCTCCTCCTCCTCCTCCATCATCATACTCCTCCTCCGCCTCCTTCCCATCCTCCTCCTTCTCATCTTCATACTCCTCGTCCTTCTCCATCACCTCAACCGTGGCGGCCTTCGCGGCCCTGATGAGCTCAGCCTCATCCTCCGCCCTGTCCTTGCGGTTCCACCGCCCCACAGCCTTTGGCTTTGCTGCGTGGCGCTTCCGGATCTCCTCGCCCAGCTCTGCCTCCTCCTTCCAGATGTTCATGGCGTCCACCAGCTCGCGGTGCTCATCTGCTGGATCCCTCTTGAGGAGCGGGCGCTCCAGCATCTTCAGTGCACTGCCCACCTCATCGAAGCCCTGCTTCTGCTTCTTCGGCGTGAGCTCGTCCTTCACGACGTCTGACGCCGCCGCTTCGGCCGGGTGGCTGCCATGAGCTCTGCGGCTGGCAGGTCGAATTGAAAGCCCCTGATGCGTGTGCAGTCTGTGATATTCTGGAGTAGGTGCATGAAGTTCTGGTGTGTGAAGTCTGTGATATGGTTGTGGAGATGGTGCGTGAAGTTCTGCAGTTACTGACATGGTATATGGGGCGTTGTGAGTTGGCAGATGAACTTCGGAAGCCATGGAGTGGCATGCGTGGAACGTTGTGAAAGGTGGCGCAGGAAGTTACGACGTTCTCAGTGGTATGCATGGTGCGTTGTGAGGTAGTGCACGCACAAGGATGTATGTCTATGTCTCGGTATACAGTAAATGAATGTAAATGAATGACACAACTGGCCCTGCAATCGTGAAAAAAATAACCACCTGTAATCGTGAACAAAAAAGCTATGCCATGTCTGAAGGCCCATGCCGTTCAGACATGGCATGCATCCGTTTTGAACCGCGGCGAAGCGGCATCAAATTGATTGAACGTTCAGTGCAAACGAAATGGACACACCGATCGACCAATGTTCACAAACTTCAAATACAATGATTTACAACCCAACGAAGAACCCTTCAAAGACTCCTGCAAACCGAACTCAAAGAGTTTCATCAAAGGCTGTTGAGGGTCCCGACAACAAGGCTCTGCAGGCCATGGTGAAGGTTCCAACCTGAGGGCGCACAGCACAGGATGCAAAGGAACCCATGACTTGGAGGGCCTCAAACGTACACCTTCCCGACTCGAGCTCAAATGATTTGCCTATTTCTTTCAAAGGGCTCCGGGCTCCGTCTATTCAAACACATTCAAAAACACAAAGCAGCTCTGCGCTTTGAAGCAGCACCAAGAATGCCTACTCGTGCGCATCAAAATGATGCACCGATGGTTCGACCTGAGTGTTGGGAAACTCGGTCTCATTGCTCAAAGTTTCTCCAGCTGCTCGCCGTTGTTTTTTTGGTGATGGAGTATCGGCCAAGGGGGCCATGCGTTTCAGTTTCTTCTTGGGCGACGCACGCTTCTTCCTCGTAGGCACCTGCCCCTCGCCCTTTTGGACCAAAGCCCTCATGTAGGCCATGTTCTTGTGGGACAACTCAATCCACAGGTCCTTGGACTTCACACCGAACAAGACCTGGACCTCCCGGGAGGGATACGTCTCCCCTTTGAATTCGAACGCTGGCAGCAAGATCCTAACAACAGGATCAACCAAGCACACATCTTCGTCCCGCACCCTCTTCTTGCGGCGCTGACTCGCGGGCTCATCAGCTTCAGGCATCTCCATTTGCGCGCTCACGGAGGCAACACTGGCGGTTTTCCGCAAAGCCAGCAAATCCTCAAAGAGTGTGCTGTTGGCCGATCTCCCCACACCTCGAGACAAATCCATAGGCCTTTGAAGACAGAATTTGACAAAATGGCGATCGAATTTGCTCAGCCTCACAAAGTCTACTCCTCCCTGCGTGTCGATCTCAGGATACCACTTCACTGATCCTGATTTGAGCAGCCAGGTCGGCTGCATGATAAAGCAGGCTGGATCCAAAGGGTCCTGCTCCATGAGCTCTTCTTCATTCTCGCTCTCTACGACTTCAGCTTCGGCCATGGGCAATATACAATCTATCGAATCTAAGACGAGCCAAGTTCAGGCCCTGCCTTTGCTTGCGAGCTTGAGCTGTGACAAGCCCTGCCACTTAAACGTATCAAAGGGTTGCATCTTGGAGGTTCGCTTTGACATGACACGCAATGCCAATCAAGAATTCTTGCAAACACATTCAAACGTTTACCAAATCACGTTTCATTGTAAGATGACAAGCTCTGCCAATCAAGAGTTCTTGCAATCACACACAAAGACATTAGCGAGAGCAACTTCACAGTCCAGAAATCATTTCTTCACTTGCCCCCGCATATCACAAGGCTCCCGGCTCAAAGTCGTATGACCAACCAGCCTCCATGACAAGCTTACACAGGTTTGGTTTTTGCGCCTCTGTGATTCAGAAAGGCCAAACAAAGAACATACCAAACTTCCAGACCTCACAACAAAGTTTCACCGCAAGCACACTCACTGTTTCCCATCATTGAGCTCAAGTCAGTGGCTGGCACCATGTTGCATTAAAGTGTTCCTATGACTCCTTGGATTTGGTCCTGGCGCGTTTGGCAGGCGGTGGCGCGGCGATAGGAGCTAGTGGCTCTGGCTCCTCTTCCACTTTCACTTGGGGCGTATAGACAATCAACTCGTCTTTGGGCTTCAAAGCACATGTGTTGTACATACATGGGATCTTGACAGAATTGTTCTCTGTGTCTGTCAAGCTGGGGCGAATCTCACAATTTGCATCCTCAAGAACATGGGTTCTCTTGACCATCCAAAAAGGCTGCAGGAACGAACCAGTCAAGTCGCCGTCCTTGGAATGCAGGAAGGCAGGCAAGAGACTCAAGGGCACATCCCTGATTGTTCCAATCGAAAGGCCAGAGCTCGCCTCTTTGGACTCAATCTTCCATGTTGATGGGATGAGGATCAACTTGTTTTTGGCAAAGGGCTTCGTGCAAAAGACTGCCTTGGAAGGTTTCACCTGGAGTTTCAATCCCTCAAGCACTTTGGCGTGCTGCTGATCCAATTCAATGAAGCGCCTGGCCACCTCACCCTTGGCGCACATGAGATTGATTGCATCTGACTTGAGCGCCGTATGGTCAGAGAAGGTGTCAAATTCATATTGCGTGGTCTCGACATGTTTCTTCACTACTTTCCATTCTCCTCTCAAGAAAGATCCAGCCGAAAGCTCAAAGTATCCAGAAACATCCTCTGTGTCCAAAGACAATTTGACCTTCGACCCCTTCAAACTCTCGATTGTGGCCCTAACCTTGTCCTTCTTGCGAAGAACCGATGCGCCTTCGACAAAGCCCTGTTCTCTCACCAGCACTGCCTCTTCCTTGATCTTCCCAAACTCATCGTACTCGCGCCTTGAATTGACATGGACAAGGGTTTTTGAATATACGGCGCAAGAAAGGCTTTGGACAGTGAATGAATTGTGAAACTATATTTTGTAGGTTCACGATGCACCAAAAAACAAAAGGAACTCCTTGCAAAACTGTCCGACCCAATACGCGGTGCAAGAAAACGCTTTGGAGAGTGAATGACATCAAACTATTTTGTAGGTTCACTACGCGCAAAAAACTCTTGATGAAATTGTCCGGTTGGCGGAATCACTGAGGGACCCGGGCTTGCCGCAGGAGCTGATGGGGTGGAGCTCTCATGCTTCCTATGGGCATCGAACTCGGTGGAAAGCCTCTTTCCAAGAACCTCCTCAAGTTCATCCATGAACTCGCACGCCATGGATTGAGGAGTCAAGTCCTTGCGCTTCTCAAGGACTTCCAAGACCAAGCCATCTTGGAATTTATCAAAACAAGTTTGCACCTGCTGCGCAGATTCCTCCGGAATACCGACGCTGTCCAAGAGCTTCTGCATTTTGATCATCAACCCCTCCGCCTTCGCCACGGCTGGGGACATCTCTTTGGACAAGATTCGTCGGGCATCACTGGCCCCAACCAACTTCTCTGAGTTGTAGGCTAGGCCAAGCAAAGCATGCCGAAACCAAACATGCTGCGCCTGCCAATCCTTCGACGTGCCCGACAAGTTCACAAAGAACTCTGTCCCGAGCACCTTCTTCGCGCTCACATTCTTCTTGACCCTGCTCTCAATCTTTGCCAGCAATCTCTTATGCATGTACTTGAGCAAGAACTGATACATGTAGGGGGTGGCTTCAGCGCAGGCTGGCTTGGTCCTCATGACATCTTTTCGAACTTGGGCCCACTCTGGAGGAGAGGTGGACCTCTCAATCATGCCCTTCATGCGCAGCAAGATTTGCCACTCATGCTCTCCCCGCTGCAAGTGGCCGGAGGTATTGGATGCTGCCTGGATCAGCTGTGGCACACCTTCGATCGCTGCAGCCTCCTTGGACACAATCCGCCAGATCATGCCTTCCTCAGCTGCCTTGTACAGCTGTGGATCATGAGATCGAGCTCGGGCCATCGACAGTTTGCCTTCCAGTGCCAGGGGACCGGATCCATGATCTTGTGGAAGTTTCACTTCGTGGCGGAGGGCTCTCAAAGCTGCATTGGTATGAGAGCCAGCCAAAGATGCGTACCGCATCGAAGTCGGAACCACCTCCGGTAACAAGCCCCCAGAGCTTCTCACCAACTCTTGGTTGAACGACAGAACATCCGCGTGGTTTGATCCGACCTCCGAACATATCGGGTTAGTCTCACGACTATCCCACCCCACCTCACTCAGGCCATGAAGAAGGGCGTGAACGTCGTGTCCGCTCAGCCCGAAACCATCTCTATTCTCCGGATGACACGCAACTTCATCCGGCAACAAGACTGAGCTCCTAAGAAGATGGTGCCTTGTGAGTGCGGCCATCAAATTGTGGCAAGCCTGAACAAGCTGCCCTTCGTTGGCCTGCTTGAGAGCGGCCTGGATCTCATTCAACGCCTCTGGGCTCACAGCCATACTTTCAATGTCGAAATACAGTATATACCTTGATCCAAAACTACAGTAAAGTTGCGCGAGCTGCACACGCAGTCCCTGCGATATATACCTCTGCGAGCGTCTTTCAGACACCCTGCGTTTGTTTAAAGAAATGATA